AGCATAACAACGATTCTGAGGATGGTGCAGAATTGGGCAGTGTTTCATGCTGTTGTACATAGGGTTGCTGTGACTCGGAACTGACTCGACAGCACCTAACAACAATGAAAAAATTATAAAACATTATTACATGACATCCGAATGCACTGAAGGAAATGAAAAGGTAGAGCATACTCTTAGAAAACTCTTCTCCCCAGATATATCGCTATTTTCAATGCACTGCGCTAAAATTCCAAGCAATTTAATTCCTTTTTAGAAATTAAAAAAATTACAAACGTATTTGGAAGGGCAAGTGTCCATGAATAGCCAACATGTTCTAAGGAAAAAGGCATGGGGCTTCTCCAAATACATCATATATATATACTTTCACACGTTTATTTTATAAGGAAAGCTATAGTATATTACACAGTGCAGTATCAGTATAAACTAAGAAAAAAACCAAACTCACTGCCGTCAAGTCGATTCCGACTCACAGTGATCCTGTAAAACAGAGCAGAACTGCCCCATAGGATTTCCAAGAAGCGGCTGGTGATTCGAACTGCCAACTTTTTGGCTAGCAGCCTGAACTTACCAGTACCGGAATACGCAAATAGATCAATGGGAAAAAACAAACAGCCCTGGAAAATGCCCACCAATCTATACAAAGTTGATTCATGACACAGCAAGCAATGCAGGGCAGTAACAGAAAGCACAAGTACTTCAAAAAGTAGGGAAGGGTCAACTAAATGGAATCCCTCAGTGGCACAAAGGGTTAAGTGCTCTGCTACTACCTGAAAGGTTGGTGGTTTGAGTTCACCCACAGGCATGTCTGAAGAAAGGTCTAAAGATCTACTTCCAAAAAATCAGTCACCGAAAACCATAGCGTGTGCAGTTCTACTCGGAAACACGTCACCATGACTCAGAATCGACTCTATGGCAACTAGCTTTTTTAAAAAAATCAACTAATGATATAATTGGAATAATTAACCTATTCTCAAGTACTCCATATTTAAAAAATCAACTCCAGGTAGATTAGTTTTAAATACTAAAAAGTAAAATTATAATACTTTTCCAAGTTATAAGCAAATGATCTTATGACATCAGAATAGAGGAAAACTTCTTAAGAGAAAGACATAAGGGAAGACCGACCAATTCAACTATATCAAAATTTACAACTATTTATCAAAGGGCAGGGAAAATCAGTGAAAAGGTAAGTTACATACTAGAAGAAAAATTTTCAAAGTTTGTAAAGAAGATCTAAAAGTCATAGAAATATAAATTAACGGGGAAAATATGCACAGCCTTGTCAGTAGTGGAATACTATAATTACAAAATAAAATCAAAAACACCATTTCACCCTCTTTACAAGGGCAAAAATTAGATAAGCAGATGGAAGAAATAATATACATATGTATACTTTACAGGAGGAAGAAGTTGTAAACTGCATTAGTGTTGTCACGTGCTGTCGAGTCGGTTCCGACTCATAGCGACCCTACGTACAACAGAATGAAACACTGTCCAGTCCTGAGCCATTCTCACAATCATTGTTAAGCTTGAGCCCACTGTTGCAGCCACTGCTGTTGTCAATCCATACCCTTGAGGGTATTCCTTTTTTTTGCTGATCATCTATTTTACCAACCATGATGTCCTTCTCCAAGGACTGGTCCCTATTGATAACCTGTCCAACGTAAGTGAAACAAAGTCTTACCAAGCTGGCTTCCAAGGAGCATTCTGTCTGTATTTCTTCCAAGACAGACTTGTTCGTTCTGGCAGTCCATGGTATATTCAATATTCTTTGCCAACACTATAATTCAAAGACATCAATTCTTCTTTGGTCTTCCTTATTCATTGTCCAGCTTTCATATGCATATATGAAGCAACTGAAAACACCAAGGCTTGGGTTAGGTGCATCTTAGTCCTTAAAGTGACGTCTTTGCTTTTTAACACTTTAAAGAGGTCTTTTGCAGTATATTAGCCCAATGCAATGCATCAGTATTTCCTAGTAAGTTTGAACATGGCTATGGTCTACAACACAGCCGTTTTCCCTCACTGCAGAATTATTGTGCAGGAGCACATGGAGCCTGGGAAGAGAATGAACAGAAGAGCAGCAATACTCACAAGGGCAAAATTACACTTGAATCACCCAAATGCTGACGCTCTACACTGGCTAGGTAGATTGTGGCCTGTTCATACCATGGGAACATACACAGGCACATGGGTGGACTAAAGCTATAGATACCAACATGTATGAAATTCAACAGCATCCTAGGGAAACAAGTCACTGAAGAACCCAGATACAGTAATAACTGAATTCACAGAAAGCCCATAAAGAGGCAAAACTAAACAAAACAGAATTGATGGATTAAGACTTGGGCGATAAAACCCCGAGAACATGGCCCCTGGACACGCTTTTAACTCTGTACTGAAGTCACTCCTGAGGTTCACCCTTCAGCCAAAGATTAGACAGGCCTATAAAACAAAACGAGACTAACTGGGCACACCAGCCCAGGGGCAAGGACGAAAAGGCAGGAGGGGACAGGAAAGCTGGTAATGGGGAACCCAAGCTTGAGAAGGGGAAGTGTTGATATGTCTGGGGTTGGCAACCAGTGTCACAAAACGATATGTGCATTGTTTAATGAGAAATGAATTTGCTCTGTAAACCTTCATCTAAAGCACAATAGAAAAAAAAGGACTTGAGTGGCAAGGCTATAATAATAGCAATGATATTGGTTAATAGTCATAACTTCTAAATACACAGAGCAACAATTTCCAGGCAGGAGGTGATGAGATCAGGGTGGGACACGCAGGGAGACCATAAAAACTGACCAAGGTCTATTTATTATCAGCAACTCAGATTACTATTTAGATTCTATAGGAGAAGTTTATACACTGCTTATTTATGATACAGTTGACAATAGAAAGTTCAAAGTATTATTTAAAACACAAAAGAAATGTAATTTTCATAAATTAATTATATAAAGCCATGTGAAAACTCCTTCCTCTTGATTTTACTTACCTTAGTTCAAAAAAGCTTTTATACCTAAACTATTGCTAACCGGATCTTAGAAATTTACATTTATATTCACTAGAACTAGCACCATAAAAGCAAAACAATGGCCACAATCCAAGCGTCCATTCATGGCGATACAGTTAAAAACAACAACAAAAAAACTAAGGTCAATCGTATGTAGTATTCTGGAGTTACAGAAGAATTGAGATCTAAGCTCTCTATGCATTGTTATAACAGCCCTGGTGGCACAGTGCTTAAAGCGTTCAGTTGCTAACCGAAAGTTCGGAGGTTCAAACTACCAGCAGCTCCGAGGGAAAAAGCTGTGGTAGTCTGCTCTGAAAACCCTATGGGGCCATTCTACTCTGTCCTATAGGATTGCTATGAGTCAGAATTGACTCAATGGCAACTTGGTTTTGTTTTTATATATTGTTTCAAAAGATCACCAGAATGATCATTCATTAAAAGTGTAAATTCCATGCTATCTTTTGCGTAACGAGGAGAAATAAAAAATGTCTATTTCTATTTGCTTGCTTCGACATAAACACTAGCAAGATGCTTCAGAAAGTAATAAAGTTGGTTATTTACAGGAAGCTGGGAGAAAAGAGATGGACTGAATGAAGACAAGTCTTCAGAAAGTATACTTTTCAAGCTCATATTGAGTTTTGAAGTTTGGAGGTATTATTCATTGGAAAAAACATAATTTCAGTAAACTACATGTACTTTTAAACATCATATAAGTCAAATGAGACATTAAGTGGTTTTACTAGAAATTCATGTTGTAATAATAAAACTATTTAAAATTTAATTTAACACCTGTTATTAAATGGTCTAGTATACTTCTGCAAATCACAAAAGTATAAATTAGAGATCTCTTTTGAAACCCAGTAACCAGGGACATCAGAGTCTATACATCCATTCTATCTTAGACAGGAAAATGTCTCTAAAATCGCTGAAATATGTAACACATCAGAGGTTCTGGTATGACTTGTTAAGTGTAATAGGACTCTGTAACAATCTTGTCAAGATTTAAGTAGGCTTAAGCGTAAGTTTTACCTCAGTTAAAACAGGCATTCCTCTGAGTTTGAAAAGTTTACATTCATTAAGTTGAAAACTTCTCAGCAGAAACACACCAAATGATCTAGAAATTTTCCTCCAATGGCAACTGTAAACGCAAGAACTTAAATACACGCATCTCACACGTTGAGCATCTCTGGCAAAAGAGAACACTTTAATTTTAGATTCTAATTCAAGACTATGGAGAAGTCAACAACTATAGGATTAAATACCAGCTCCAGGCACAGATGGGAGGACAAGGACCTAGAATGGGGATTCATGCTTTCCACACACCTGAGAGCCTCAAGGCAAAAGCATTCCCCACTGGGGGGAAAACGGATCTGAAGACCCCACACAGGATCCAGCTGGACTCACTGTTCCCATCTTTGGTGATGTCAGAAAATCAACATCACCCAGGATCCCATAAACAGTCAGGGTCTTCAGCTATGAACTCTGCCCCCTTTTCTAACCCATAACACAGTGTGTGATGGGAAACTTAGATTGAGAACTACACAGAAAATGCTCCAGTGCCTGGGGGAAGTCAGGAAAACTGTTCACAGAGATGGGACAAGCATGGCTCTGGAGGGCAAGGCTCAGCCTCCACAGCCAGACCTCCTCCATCTTCATGTTCTGGTCAGGAGACTCTGTCATACAACACAGAGCACCAAGGCCCAGGGTGGGGATTTAACACCCCATGGTGCCAGCTCTGAGAGTCACATAAGCAAGGTAACCCCGGGCATCCAAATCTTGAAAAGTCATATATGTGTAGAGGAAGGGCCCAGTGACAGTGGAGCAGGGCCTCAGGATGCCTCCCAGGGCTCAGTCCCTTGGCCTCCTCTGCCACCTTTTGTCTTCACTGAGGAACCACGGTCCCACAACACACAGCTTGTCCCCCAATAATTCATATCCAGCCTCACCCACATACTGAAAGAATAACCCAGTTCTCTGCAGAGCTCACCATTTCCTTCTCCAGCCTCCAGAAGTCTAAGAGAATGTCGTCTCTGAGCCCAAGAAGCCACGTCAGGTAGAGGCATGGGAGTGGAAGCAGAGCACTGGGCAGTTTGGAAGCAGATGAATGTTTGCTCCACACACCAGTGAGAGCTGTTGAAATCCTTACTTGTGGTTTATGGATGTGCAAGATGGTTGCCCTAGGTCCCCAGTTCTCCCTGCACCACACCTGAGACCTGAAATGGAAGAAGGATGGGGGAAACGGTGTTGAGGAAGCAGGGAGTGACAGGTTTCTGGCTTCCTCCCAGGCTCAGGGCAATGGTCCACCCTGAGGCATTTGCACTGAAGGCAGAAGACGCTCCAGCCTGCAGACCACACACCTGCATTCTGCATGCAGCTCCATGGGCTCTTCTTTCTGGCAACAAGATCACAGATGGAAAAATTTACTTATCCCAGAGCATAAAAAGCAACCAGGCCTGGCCAGGCTGCAAAACTTGAACCTGACTTCCTCCTGGGAGTCAGGGTCCAATGCTGAAGTTGTGAGTTCACCTACGTAACTCTGTCCATTATAGGTCAACACACACACTGTTAGTGGATACTAACATGGGTGAATTTTCGGGAAAAACACACTTTTCAAGTTTCCTCAATGAACTCATCACGGTTCATTCATTTTTAATTATGTGCACTTAAAAGCCCTATACTGTTCTTTTTAAAAAAGTTTTCATTTCATTTCTAGCGGTGTAATATGAGATCAGTATTTTTCCTGTTACTTTTGCAATTAACATTTCCTTCTTCCACTTGTTTTTTATTTTTCCCTCTGTTCTCAAACCATGACACCACTCGTCCCTAAGCTTTTGAGAAATCAGGGAGGATTCCTGAACACCGTGTCTTTCAGCCTTATAATAAATCCATCAACAAATCAGAAAATGACAAAGTTTCCTCTAAGGAACCGTTTCCTGCCTGTTCCCACTTCTTTCCACCCTGCTTCCCTCCAAGCTGACTCCTATTCTTTTATTTCTTGGTCTCAGAGTCAATGCTCCCTCGCTCACATGATCTTCACACCAGTGCCTCCCCTTTAAGCATTAGCCTTCCTTTCATTATTTTCTCTAATAGCACTCACTAATTTTAATTCACGTCCTTATTTCTACACTAATCATTTCCACTATAAAGTAGGAGCTTGTTCAGTATGCAGATTTTCAACCTTCACCCCAGAATAGCTGAATCAAACTCTGCATTTTAACAAGATCCCAGGATTATCCAAGCTGACATCCAAGTATGAGAAGCATTCACTGATCTGTAGCCTGTGACTCAAGGAATGAACATTCTGTCAACAGATGCCTTTGAACCATCCACATGTACATTATATCACTGCACTATCTTCCTGATCCACAACCAATCTCCTTGTCTAGGCCTCCTCACAGTCCTCCTTAACTTGTTCATAACTAGCTCCTGTCTGAAGTCATTCAATCATGGTTGTCATTCCAAAATCTATTTGGATGTCAAAAGAGACTCTGAAACTTGCTCTTGAATGTCGAGTAGCTAAAGCAAATGGAAGAAATGAAGAAGTAGAAGAGCTGAACGGAAGATTTCAAAGAGGTAGCTCAAGAAAACAAAGTACTATAATGACATATGCAAAGACCTGGAGTTAGAAAACCAGAAGGGAAAAACATGCTCGGCATTTCTCAAGCTGAAAGAACTGAAGAAAAAATTCAAGCCTCAAGTTTGAATATTGAAGAATTCCATGAGGAAAATATTAAACAATGCAGGAGGCATCAAAAGAAGATGGAAGGAATACAGAGTCATTATACCAAAAAGAACTGGTCGACGTTCATCCATTTCAGGAGGCAGCATATGATCAGGAACCAATGGCACTGAAAGAAGAGGTCCAAAGTGCACTAAAGGCATTGGCAAAAAACAAGGCTCCAGCAATTGATGGAATATCAATTGAGATGTTTCAACAAATGGATGCAGCACTGGAGGTGCTCACTCATCTATGTCAAGAAATCTGGAAGACAGCTACCTGTCCAACTGACAGGAAGAGACCACATTTATGCCTATTCCAAAGAAAGGTGACCCAAACATATGAGAAATTATTGGACAATATCATTAATATCACACCCAAGTAAAATTTGGCTGAAGTTCATTCAAAAGCAGCTGCAGTAGTCCACCGACAGGCAACTGCCAGAAATTCAAGCTGGATTCAGAAGAGGACATGGAACAAGGGATATCACTGCTAATGTCAGATGGATCCTGGCTGAAAGCAGAGAATACCAGTAAGATGTCTACCTGTGTTTTATTGACTATGCAAAGGCATTTGACTGTGTGGATCATAACGAATTATGGGTAACACTGCAAAGAATGGGAATTCCAGAACACTTGTGCTCATGAAGAACCTGTACATAGATCAACAGGCAGTCATTCAAACAGAACAAGGGGATACCGAGTGGTTTAAAGTCAGGAAAGCTGTGAGTCAGGGTTGTATCCTTTCACCATACTTATTCAATCTGTATGCTGAGCAAATAATCTGAGAAGCTGGACTATATGAAGAACGGGGCTTCAGGATTTGGGGAAGACTTACTAACAACCTGCGATATGCAGATGACCCAACCTTGTTTGCTGAACGTGAACAGGACTTGAAGCACTTATTGATGAAGATCAAAGACTACAGTCTTCAGTATGGATTACACCTCACCTCAACATAACGAAAACAAAAATCCTCACAACTGGACCAATAAGCAACATCATGATAAACTGAGAAAAGACTGAAGTTGTCAAAGACTTCATTTTCCTTGGATCCACAATCAACACACATGGAAGCAGCAGTCAAGATACCAAACGACACACTGCATTGGGAAAGTCTGCTGCAAAAGATCTCTTTAAAGTGTTGAAAAGCAAAGATGTCACTTTGAAGACCAAGGAGCACCTGACCCAAGCCATGGTGTTTTCAATCACCTCATATGCCTGTGAAGGCTGACAATGAATATGGAGCACTGAAGAAGAATTGACGCCTTTGAATTACGGTGGTGGCACAGAATATATCATGGACTGCCAAAAAAATGAACAAATCTGCCCTTATATAAGTACAGCCAGAATGCTCCTTAGAAGCATGGATGGTGAGACTTTGTCTCACATACTTTGGACAGGAGGGCTCAATCTCTGGAGAAGGACATCATGCTTGGTAAAGTAGAGGGTCAGGGAAAAAGAGGAAGACCCTCAACGAGATGGACCGATACAGTGGCTATAACAATGAGCTTAATCATAACGATTGTGAGAATGGCACAGAACTAGGCAGTGTTTTGTTCTGTTGTAAGGAGGGTTGCTATGAGTTGGAACCGACTCGACAGCCGCTAACAACAACAGTAACAAGTAGCTGAGGAATAAACGTTTTAAAGATAACATGTTAATTAGACAGGATTAGACACAGTTATGCTAATGATGCAGGACTCAATCTACAAGATTATGTTGTATCTTGAGTCTATTTCTTTTGAGATATAAAGGACAGAATCGAGCAGAGAGGAGAACGATCTCAAACCACCAAGAAAGCGCCAGGAGTGAAGCACATCCTTTGGACCAGGAGTCCCTGCGTTGAGAAGCTCCTGGGTCAAAGAAAGATTGATGACAAGGATCTTCTCCCAGAACCAACTGAGATAGAAAGCCTTCCCCGGGAGCTGGCATCCTGAATTCAGGCTTCTAGTCCCCTATATTGTGAGAGAATAAATTTCTGTTTGTGAAAGGCATCTACTTGTGGTATTTCTGTTATAGCAGCACTAGAGAACTAAGATAGAATTTAGCGCAGGAAGAGTGGGCTATGTTCTAACAGATACTTAAAATGTGGAAGCAGTTTTGAAACTGTAAACGGGTAGACGCTGGAAGAGTTTTAAGGTGACTAACAGTAAGAGCCTAGATTGCCTTGAAGACACTGTTGGTGGAATTATGGACATCAAAGACAATTCTAGGGATGAATCAGAAGGAAATGAGGAGAACTGAAAGACCAGGGACGGCGCAGATGGCAAGAAGCAGCAGCAGAGAAATGGCAGCATCAGAACCAGGAGAGTTGGTGCCCTAAATTCAGACTTCTGGCTTCGTAGACTTTGAGAGAATAAACCTCTGTTTATTAAAGCCATCTACTTGTGGTATTTGTTACAGCAGCACTAGATAACCGAGACAGGTAGTTAATGCTTAAGAAGCACCAAGTTTCTGCTAAGGGAGATGGAAAAACTTAGAAACTAAGTGACGTCTGCACAACAAAGTGTAAGTAATTATGTTACGGAATTATACACGTAAAAATGGTTAAAATAAGAAAAGGTATTTTTATATATATTTTACCACACACACAAACATAGCATGAAAAGAGCTTACGCTAATGGCATTGGAGTTCCCAATAATTTCTCAAACAGAACACTTAAATGTAGACATTTTAAAGTTTCTCCATAGGGTTTTCAATGCTGTGACCTTTCGGAGGCAGATTGCCAGGCCTGTCTTCCAAGGCACATCTGGGTGGGTTCAAACTGCCAACCTTCCAGCTACTAACCTTCACCTTTACTGCCACACAGGGACTCCCTACTTGACTCTCTTACTTTGTAAAATAATTATTGCAAAAGATAAAGTACTTTTTGCAACACTGTAGTGTGGCTGACCCTCTAGGATCTGCTGAAGTATTCTGATTACTTTCATTACGTACATCTCCCATTTAGCCCTCACTCCTAATATTCATGGTTCTGACACTGGGAATCTGCACGGTTTTTGCTCCAAAAAGCCTTCCACCTTTTAATAAGTGTGGTTCATTGGTAACAAAAACTGGCTCAATCTCCGGCATCCAGTCCAGCACAGATGACACACACTGGGTGTGTGATCTCTACAAATCCCTCCTCGCCTCTCTGAAGCTTGTGCAGCAACATCACATTTTATATCAGACCAACTGGGACTAGCCGTATTGTTTCTCACACAATCATGATGGAAATTTCTGACTCACAGCCAAACAAATTCCTTGAAATATGCCTCTGACTAAATATTTTCCTCTGAAATTGGGATAAATAAGATCCTAAATGTATGCATTAGTTCCAACTCATGTTTTTGTATTCTTCATCTGTCTTCAATACCTATAACCATTAAACGAGGGGGGTATATTCCTCACCACAATCTTCACTTTTGTATGACCAGCAATACTCCACAAAAGTCCTGCCTGATGAAGCACAGAAAACAAGGAGCCGCCATGTTAGGCGGGGAAATTGTGATCAAGAATATTCTTGAAGTAAGAACAGACCTGAACTTCAGTTCAGACACTGCCACTTATGAGATATTTGTCCTTGGGCAAGCTATTTAATTTCTCTAAAACTATGACTTTTGTAAATCGCCACAAATACTCCCTACCTCACAGTGTTGTTTTGAGAATAAAATCAGATGCAGTATATAAAGTACTTAACACAGGGCCCAGCTCTTCTCAAACAGCTCAATACATGGTAAATATATACACGCCAAAATATACAGACGGAACTGCCAAAAAAACGAATAAATCTGTGTTGGAAGAAGTACAGCCAGAATTCTCCAAGGATGGCGAGACTACGTCTCCATACTTTGGACGCTGTCAGGTGGGACCAGTCCCTGGAGAAGGACATCACACTTGGTAAAGCAGAGGGTCATCGAAAAAGAGGAAGACCCTGAACGGGATGGACTGACACAGTGGCTGCAACAATGGGCTCAGGCAAAACAACGCCCGTGAGGATGGCGCAGGACCGGGCAGTGTTTCATTCTGTTGTCCACAGGGTCGCTGAGTCGGAACTGACTCCACGGCTCCTGATAACAACAACGTACACACAGGCCGGGGTGACTGAGGCCTGATGGGCAGCTCAGTGTGACTGCAGTGTGTGCGCTTCTGTGTGCAGGTGCGTGCGTGCGTGCGTGTGTGCGTTAGGGGGTGCCGGCATAAAAGGCCGAGGAGTCTGGCTGAGGCTGCCTTGTAAAAACAAGAAAAGAGAACACAGGCGAGCGCGGGGGGCGGCGGACTGGAGGTGGGAGCGGGATCTACACTCAGGCGAACGACCCCGGGCGTCCCCGAGACCCGTGACCCCCATTTCTCCCACGCTCCAAGGGGACGCTGACGCCGCTGCTCTGAGAAGCACACGTGTGCGCGGCGAGGACCCCCACGGTCTCACCTGTGAGCGCCCCGAGAGACACGGGTCCCCACCTCCTCGGCCTCCGGAAAGCAGCTGCGGCCGCGGGGCCGGGGTCGCGCAGGAAGCGGCGGCGGCGGCTCCCCGGCTGGAGGGAGTCCGGAGGCTCTGGGGGAGGAGAGACCCGGATCGCGAGGGGAGCGGGAGCAGCGCCCTCAGACCCGGGACAGGAGCCTGCGGGTCACCCGTTAATGGGGCCGTCTGACCGGCGACAGTGCTACACCGACCTCCCACCGGAGCACCACGGTGACGGATTGCGCCTGCCCATTCGAGGACACACTCTTCCGCTTCCGGTTTCGGGGATGCTTGGTGCCTCAGAGAGGGGGTTCCGTGCGCGAACCTAGAGGGCTCTAACTCGTGACCGTGGGGTGCAGTGGTTCCGCCTTGTATTTGGGGTCAGACCACGGCTGTCCTTATTTCCTCTGTAGAGAAAAGCCTAGTTTTCTTAAATCCGTATATGAACTGAAACGCGGATTTCAGTAACCAGAGATACCCTTGGGGAGCAGAGAAAGTTGGTATCTGCATATTTTGCCATTAAAAATTTTTTTTTTTTTACCATTTTCTTTAGAGAAAGAATTTCTTTGCTTCTCCTAAATATTTCCCCACCTTTAGGACTGTTAAGTCTCTAGTTTAGCTTCTGTTTCATGGTTTGTCAACTCTTACATATCAGGTATCTTTCCCTAGGAGCAGGGTACAGACTCTGCTACCCAGTCTGACCTCTCCTAGTGCTGAAGACCCTGGAGAGAGGAGTTTTCCAGGATGAGAGGCAGGAGGTACCGGTGGTTCTCAGGGCCGGTAGGTAAAAGGTGAAGGACCTTTAAAAAATGACAATTATAAACAGCGTTTACGTTTTTCTCATATATACACACAAGTAATGAAGTGAATAATGTGTACGAATCTTAAATGTACAACATGATGAATTTTTAGGATATATACTCATATTACCTCCTCTGAGATCAACTTAGGAAAATTTTAAGGCACACAGGAAGATTCCCTCCTGTCCTTCTTCCAGTTGATATTCACCCTAGGAGTCGCCAGTGTTCTGACTGTTATTGCCATAGATAAGGATTGCCCATTCTTGGACTTCAGATAATCAGAATAATACTGTAGGAAGTATGTTCTGTCTAACTTCATCTAGTTACATAAGGTCTGTGAGATTTTACCTATGTTGTTGCACACAGCAGTAATTTTTTCTTTTTTTTGATCGTTATGTTTTATTCCACTGGATGAATATACCACAGTTTTACTTCTTCATTTAGTCATTCATTGTATTCTGTTGTTAAAGTTTGTATTGTTGCTGTTGAGTCAGTTCTGACTCACAGTGACCCTATGTACAACAGAATGAAACATTTTCCGATCTTTTGCCATCTTCACAATCATCTTTATGCTTGAGCCCATTGTTGTAACCACTGTGTCAATCCATCTCGTTGAGGGTCTTCCTCTTTTTCACTAACCCTCTACTTTACCAAGCACGATGTACTTCTTCAGGGACTGATCCCTTCTGATAACACATCCGAAGCACATGAGATGACCAATGACTGCCCTGACAGGGAACACAACAAGGAGTCCCTGATGGAGCAGGAGAAAAGTGGGGTGCAGAACTCAAATTCTAGTAAAAAGACCAGACTTAATGGTTTGACTGAGATTGGAGGGACTCTGGAAGACATGGCCCCTGGACTCTCTGTTAGCCCAAAACTAAAACCATTCCCGAGGCCAACTCTTCAGACAAAGATTAGACTAGACTGTGAGACATAAAATGATACTCGTGAAAAGTGTGCTTCTTAGCTCAAGTAGATACGTGAGACTAAATGGGCAGCTCGTATCCGGAGGTGAGATGAAAAGGCAGAGAGGGTCAGGAGCTGCTTGAATGGACACGGGAAATCTGGGGTGGAAGGGAGGAGTGTGCTGTCACAGTATAGGGAGAGCAACTAGGGTCACAGAACAATGTGTGTATAAATTTTTGTATGAGAAACTGACTCGAATTGTAAACTTTCACTTAAAGCACAATAAAAAAATTTTTAAAAAAGAAAGTACCTGACATGAAGTCTCGCTATCCTTGCTTCTAAGGAACATTCTGGCTATACTTCTTCCAAGACAGATTTGTTCGTTCTTCTGGCAGTCCATGGTATATTCAGTATTTTTCACCAACACCATAATTCAAAGGCATCAATTCTTCTTTGGTCTTCCTTATTCATTGTCCAGCTTTCGCATGCATATGAGGCAATTTTAAACACCATGGCTTGGGTCAGGTGCACCTTAGTTCTTAAAGTGACATGTTCGATTTTTAACACTTTAAAGAGGTCTTCTGCAGTAGATTTGCCCAATGCAATGCATCCTTTGATTTCTTGACTGCTGCTTCTGTGGACGCTGAGTGTCGATCCAAGTAAAGTGAAATCCTTGACAACTTCAATCTTTTCTTCGTTTATCATGATGTTGCTTATTGGTCCAGTTGTGAGGATTTTTGTTTTCTTTATGTTGAGGTGCAATCCATACTGAAGGCTGTGGTCTTTGATCTTCACTAGTAAGAGCTTCAAGTCCTGTTCACTTTCAGCAAGCAGAGTTGTGTCATCTGCATATCGCAGGTTGTTAACGAGTCTTCCACCAATCTTCATGCCGTGTTCTTCTTCATATAGTCCAGTTTCTCGGATTATCTGTTCAGCATACAGATTGTATAAGTATGGTGAAAGGATACAACCCTGACACACACCTTTCCTGACTTTAAACCACGAAATATCCCCTTGTTGTTGCTGAATGTGCCTCTTGGTCTATGTACAGTTTCCTCATGAGCACAATTAAGTGTTCTGGAATTCCTGTTCAAAAGGTTTTCACTGGCTAATTTTTTCAGAAGTAGACTGCCAGGTCCTTCTTTCTAGTCTGTCTTAGTCTGGAAGCTCTGCTGAAGCCTGTCCACCATGGTTGACCCTGCTGGTATTTGAAATACCAGTGACATAGCTGCCAGCATCACAGCAAAACACAAGCCACCACAGTACAATGAACTGCCAGAAGAGTGGTGGAAAGTTTGTATTATAACCCAGCATGTGGTCTATCTTTCTGAATAGTTAATGATCACTTCAAATAATGTGTCTTATGCTGTTGTTAGGTGGAGTGTTTAATAAATGTCAATTAGGTCAAGATGGTTGATGGCGTTTGTCTTAGTCATCTAGTGCTGCTATAATAGAAATATCACAAGTAGGTGGCTTTAACAGACAAAAATTTATTTTCTCACAGTTTAGGCGGTTGTTGTGTCATTGTTAGACGCCGTCAAGTCGGTTCCGACTAACAGTGACCCTATGTACCACAGAATGAAACACAGCCTGGTCCTGTGCCATGCTCACAATCGTTATGCTTGGGCCCATTGTTGCAGCCACTGTGTCAATCCATCTCATTGAAGGTCTTCCTCTTTTTCGCTGACCCTGTACTTTACCAAGCATGATGTCCTTCTCCAGGGACTGATCCCTCCCGACAACATGTCCAAAGTATGTAAGACGTAGTCTCACCATCCTTCCTTCTAAGGAGCATTCTGGTTGTACTTCTTCCAAGACAGACCTGTTCATTCTTTTGGCAGTCCATGGTATATTCAATATTCTTCGCCAACGCCACAATTCAAAGGCATCAGTTCTTCTTTGGTCTTTCTTATTCATTGTTCAGCTTTCGCATGCATATGAGGTGATTGAAAATACCATGGCTTGGGTCAGGCGCAACTGAGTCTTCAAGGTGACGTCTTTCATAGAGGTTAGGATTTACAACACGTATTTTTGAAGGACGCAATTCAATCCATAACAATATCCTTGGAAAGATGGGAGGAGGTAGGTAATAACATAGTCTAGAAAACTAAGAAAAATATGGTGAGGTCAAAATGTTTTGATGCATTCATGGATAAAAGAAACATGATTAATGGACCCTCAAATTCTTGGGAAATTTTTGTTCATGTTAATATTATAGTCACGGGCAAATCACATCCCAAATGTGTTGCTGAAGATGCTGTTGGACAAAATGGACCATTGATTGAATATGGAACTTATCACTTCTTGGGTTTGGTTTGCTGGAGGGGTTTCTTTTTATAATTTTTATCAAGATTACAAAAAAGAGGACATGTTACATATGCGGAACCTGTACATAGACCAAGAGGCACTCGTCCGAACAGAACAAGGGGATACTGTGTGGTTTAAAGTCAGAAAAGGTGTGCATCAGTGTTGTATCCTTTCACCATACTTATTAAATCTATATGCTGAGCAAATAATCCGAGAAGCTGAACTATATGAAGAAGAACGCAGCATCAGGATTGGAGGAAGACTCATTAACAACCTGTGACATGCAGATGACACAACTTTCCTTGCTGAAAGCAAAGAAGACTTAAAGCACTTACTGATGAAGATCAAAGACTACGGCATCCAGTATGGATTGCACCTCAACATAGAGGAAACAAAAATCCTCACAACTGGACCAATAAGCAATACCATGATAAAAGAAGAAAAGATTGAAGTTGTCAAGGATTTCACTTTACTTGGATCGACACTCAACGTCCACAGAAGCAGCAGTCAAGAAATCAAATAATGCATTGCATTGGGCAAATCTACTGTAAAAGACCTCTTTAAAGTGTTAAAAAGCAAAGATATCACTTCAAGGACTAAAGGGCGCCCGACCCAAGTCATAGTATTTTAAATCACCTCATATGCATGTGAAAACTGGACAATGAATAAGGAAGATGGAAGAAGAATTGATGCATTTGAATTATGGTGTTGGTGAAGAATATTGAATATACCATGGACTGCCAAAAGAACGAACAAATCTGTCTTGAAACAAGTACAGCCAGAATGCTCATTATTAGTAAGGATGGCGAGGCTTTGTCTCACATACTTTGGACATGTTATCAGGAGGGGCCACTCCCTGGAGAAGGACAACATGCTTGGTAAATTAGAGAGTCAGTGAAAATGAGGAAGACCATCAATGAGATGGATTGACACAGTGGCTGCAACAATGGGCTCAAGCATAACAATGATTGTGAGCATAGGGCAGGACCGTTCTGTTGTACATAGGGTCACTATGAGTTGGAACTGACCCAATGGCACCTAAAAACAACTAAATACTTTTCATCCTGCTAACTTTTCCTATGATAAAGGGCATTGAGGTAAGCTGGCCATGAAGAGAGCTCGAATACCATAATACACCATTACCTAAAGTTGTTATTGTCAAGAAGGC